GACCGAGTATTGAAAAAGATTGGCTTGTAATCAATGAATCCTGCAGTTCAGAATGACATACAGCATTCAATAGCTTACATTGATTTACCCACATTTCACTATTCTTTTCCCACTAAGAGAAATAATGTGCTCATTTTATACGAATACTGTGGCTTAAAATAAACACGATATTATGAGCTACACTTACAGTAATTAATTTGAAATCATGCTAAACAAGTAAAATTGCGTGCAGACGTCAGTAGTGACTGCTTATTGAAACAGATTGGCTTACAATTGAGCTATTGAAAGACGCTTATCTATGTTGGTGACCAACCCTATTTGATTAACAACGGAGGACGAAGAACGTCTCTTTAGTCAGGTGATTGTATTCCCACATAAAACCTGGTTATTTCAATAAGCAGATGATTCCATTCTGTACCAATTTCACTCCACAGAAATGAGAATGAATAATATCACATAATCATATCCACCAGACACGATTACGATTCCTCAAAGTCAACACTACAAGCCTGCTAAACAGGATGATAAAAATTACTCAAAGTGAGATGATATTGCTCAACAAAACAAACTTTAACATATTCAGCGCCTCAAGCACTGGGTACAGTCGTATACACATGGTCAGCACATCAAAAGCATAGAACTCCAAACGAAATCCAGACTAAAGAACTACGTACACTGGTAACAATTAAACATATACAGTAGCACACTGTACTGGTCGCGATTGGAGCTACACTGCATTGTCTATTACAATGTAACACTTTTTTTGGATCTACATAGCCGATGTGCACGTCTTCTTTTACATGACTACATTGCAGGTCAGATTCTAATGCACCTTCTGACGGTCATCATGATGACACTGGTCGTAGGTTAATCAAGACTAATTGTGGTTTTACAATGCATGAGCGTAATACAGGTGAAAAATCGTCCAAAAAAGTGTGTGCGCAACAACAGACATCATACGCAGTTTACTGATGAGAATTGAAGCTTGGTAACGTCTCAGTTTGTACTCGTTTATCTACGCAACAGTCAATGTCGCCATCTTTGTTTATATGAGACTCATATATCTCGCGCATGCGTGGCGCGACGACAACCGCCCTTTAAACATATAAACGCGTGACAAATTAAATCTTTACAGAAAGGAATCAATGCACTTGGATGCACGTTGATTAGTTATAGAGCATGGATCTCAGGAAATGATTTGGACATACGTTCCGTGAAAACTACGTTCTATGCAGGATTGTTAATAGACAAAATGTTCTGTATTTCGACATATGACAACAGTAGGTCGAACAAAGATGACATACTATTGTACCATATAATAATCCATATAATTTGTGATATATTGAATGAAATAAATTGAATAAGTACATAATCGCATCAAACTTCGTTGAAACCATTTTGTTAGGCGAATTGTTTGAATCTTGTCAATGCGTCCATTTCTAAGCCTTAATTCCCGGTATGCCGTCACATGACTGATTCATGTGTATCGCATTGACAGACACAATGATGTTTACACTGTCATGATAAACCAGGCGTGCGTAACTTCCTTTCTACAAGCTCAATGACTCGTCGCACAGGGAACAGGGACAAACAACTGAGAAGATGGTGAAATAGATTAATACATTTTAGTACACATGGTGGGCGTGCATCTAAGCCAGACCGAAATTACGAATACTCGACTTGACGCCGCGAAGTTTTTTTTATTTTCATGAATGAATTAAGGCGCTGTTGTCAAAATTGAAGGTAGCTGCATTGATCGTAATGGTTTATTGTTATTTATGAAAAGGATTTTCGTGATAAACATATAATCGCGAATTAAATGACATTTTCTATGCACACAGCTTAGAAGTCAGAAATATATTCTACAAGATGCGTATATTAGAGGCGGCGGCACGAAATTATGCATGGGGGCGATATTTGCTCACCAGCCTCACGCCGAAGGCTCGACCTGACTAGGGGGTCCGTGGGCATGCTTCCCCCCTTAAAAATTAGAAATCTAGGCCTCTGAAACGCTATTTCCTGCATTTTGAAGGGTAATTTTGCCGACACAAAGGGTTTCAGCTTGATTTTGGAGGGGCGACGCCCCCACCAACATTTGTTTCAGGGCGACCCCCTGCCGCTACTGCTTCTTTGTATGTTGTATGTTAAGACATGTGAAATGTTTTGATTCACAATGATGCATCATTTATCAAGCAGTACTTTTAATATGGTCTAAGCAATACAGTAAGCTACTATATTAAAAAAAAAACACGTACAAGTTCCTTTGATACCATTTCAGATGTAATAGATGTAAATAGATATGTAATAGATAATTATATTGCCTTAATAAGATATGTACTATGTACTGAAGTTAGCAATCGCCAGTTCGACCAACCACGGAATTATGTCCCACTCTAAGTGACTAAACCAATGACCCAGATAGTCACTGAAGAATATAACTTACATGTTTAAATGTTCGTAAGCTGCCTGTACTGATTTTCACATGATGCGTGAAGCAAAGACGACGCTTCTCGTATGTAATATCCAATACAGAACTATCAATCAATCTACCTACTCGAGCTTGTCGGTTCGTGATGAAAAATACACGTCACGAAAAAGAAAAGAAGCTCGAATCAATAATTACCATATCACCTTTCGTTTCAATGGTTGACAAGAAGGCGTGAGCGTTTCGATTAATGAAAATGAATTAAAAATCTGTAAAATTAAATAACATTTACATTCAAAGACGAAAGTGTTGTGGTAAATCCAAGCGTCTCTGTGCCGGTACCGAATCCTGCTGTTCTTCCCACAAGGTAAATACCATACAGACAATGCCGTCAGCTGATTGGTGAATGAAACTAATTTAAGAAATTAATTAGTTTTCCGTAGTAAATTTCGAAATTGAAGAAAAGGTTACCACGCCATGAAGGTTGAAGATATTAGAATATGGCTTTCAATGCTGAAGTGTACGTAAAAGTACATCAGTTCGAGTAGACAATGTTAAATTAAAGTATCTGAAATTAGTTTTGTTATTAGTCGTGTTGGCATGGTTGTAATACGGATATTAAAATCGTACAGCAGATTCAGTTCAGAGAGCTGTTGAATTTTTTGTCCGACGCGCGTGCTTTCCCAGCGGAGTGCAAATGTTAATCGGGCGATTTTGTTTACTGGGTCATGGTCCTGTGTTTGAGATTGTTGAAATAGGGCTAACTTCAGTACGTCTGTAGCATTGGCAAATTTTATTTGTAATCTGTCTGACGCGCCCCCTGATGTCCCTATTGAAGTATCCATATATGAAGGGATCCATGACTGAGTTGCCGAGGGCCAGTAAGCTGATGAACGTTCGCACTTCTAGAACGATAAGACGAGGAGAAAAGAAAGCATCGATGAGTAAAGTGACAAATAACGGTACCCATGACAACTCAAAATAAACTAAGATGTACATAACCGTGCGAAGTGCCTTTCGGTTTTTTTTCAAGTTGCCCTTGTCGTGGTGTGATTCCGTCTGGTCACGTCGGTGATGATGGTTATGATATGGATGAACACCACCATCACCGCATCCGGCGTTGCTCTGCGAGACCGTTTCTCCAATTTGCTGAATATGTTCTCCTGCAGTGGTGCTTACTTCACACTGGCGTATTTGCTTTATGTGGCGGCTCGCCTCCCGTAGAATACGACAATAAAGCGTTGTTGAAATAACAAGTGGGAGAACAAGACCCATCATTAATAAAAACACGGCGTAACTGGCAGCATATACTTCCCCTCGCAGGCAGGTTGTGGACGTTTGACGCCACCCCATCACTGGCAAAAAACCGACCACAAAGGCATATATCCAGATAATGACGATTGTGGCAACTGTACGCCTGGGTGTCATTATTGAATGGTATTTCAACGGGGAGGTGATAGCCAGGTAGCGATCAACGGTGATTGCGACAATGTTGGATATCGAGCTCAAGCACACGATGACCGTGAAACAAGCCGCATATATACATGTAGTGTAGCCTTTCAATAAAGCTGTCGGGAAAGCAAAGTTTATCGGTATAACAACCAGGCCGACCATCACATCGCTGACGGCCAGGCTAACTATGAAACAGTTCGTGATGGTACGTAATCGCGGCGTGGATAATATTGCGAAGATCAAAAGTGCGTTACCAGTAATAATCAGAACAAGTAATGTTGAAAGTATGGTGCTATGAATTACGGTTGCTGCGTATGAGTCCGCTGGTCCGTCAGCAGCCGTGTTGTTGATATCATCGACCATTATTCAACGCGGCATCACCATATAGTTAGACTATTCATGATATTGCACAATATAAATTACTGGTAGTGAGTTGTGTTGACGAATGCGTCACCCCCAGATGCACGGAAGAATAAACTCGCAGTACAGAATCATTCCATAAACAAGTGGTTCTTAGTCGATGCACACGTGCGATGTAATCTCTCAAAACCTCACAGAGTCTCAAAATGCGATAACAGCAGATGTGAGTGTTATTTATAGAGAGACTCTATAGCAACAAACGATCACACCGAGGCTGGGCCATTTCTAGATTACAATATGTACGAATAACAAACGCTGATTGGTCGGCAAACATCGCCGGTGTGTATAACCGTATGCACAGAAATGATTAGCAAGATGCCGATGAATGAACTGTTCTGAACATTTGTGATGATATGAAGCCCTGAATAAAACCAAAATTTGGTCACTCAACTTTACTCCTATCTCACGATGGAAATCAAAATATATTATATCCCAAATTTGTTGACAGTAAGTTTAGCCGTGTGTATTCTGAGTGACAATATGCCACAATAGTGTTTTTAAGTAAAAAGTCTGAGTACCGGACTCTTTTTCTACATACATGCCCCGACCAGATATAACATGTCTAGGACAGAGGCCGAAATCTGCCCATATTTTGTGTAAAGTCTCGTTCTTTACGTTCTTTGTTTGAGGGAAAAAACACTATGCCTATATTTTCGTTTAAAAAAACACATGAAACCCCGTGAAGTGATTTCTTTCTGATATAAACATTCAAATACACGTTTTAAAAAATGAGTTGGTTATGACTGTGGTCGTAACAAGAATCGAATACATCATAATCCAATGAAATTCGACATGTAAAACGAAGTACACGTTCACATACCAGTATACATCGTATTACCTGAAGATCCATCCTTCTGTGTCACTTCGGAAAAAAATCATTTTCGTTCTCACTATTCCGTGTAATTAATGTGAAGCTGGCAAATAATGATTAATACACTGAACTGAACGGACAGCGATTTCTGAAATTCGCAATTATAGTCAGTCTAATCCAAACCGGGAAAATTTGGCCAGACAATATACAAACAAATGTTTCTGGCGAAGTATCTACTCAATAGTGATATATATGATATTTCCTCATAAATACAGCTTTACCCTCATTGTCATGTCTGTACATGTCTGTGTGGCGTAGTGTCCTTCTGTATATCAATACAGTGTTTGTTGTTTTGATGTATTCATTTGTGCAACTATACTTAAATCGTAAATTAATGTCTTTATAAGACTGACTACCTATGCACTACATAACGGACATTGATTCATAGGTTGTGATGAATTGTCGGGATATTCAATAACATGTTTATAGCAGGGCTACGAAAATACAATTATTGTGGGAACAATGTCATTTTCAAATGATCTCTCATAATATACTTGTAATTATATTTGTTGATACTCATTAAGTACCCCGATTACGACAGCTAACATTTTAAAATAAATCATTGTTCATGATAAATTGATACTACCTGAGGCTACTGTATTGTCGGTACGTAAAAGAAAAAGCATTAACATTCACTGTGATGAATGTGCTATCTTTTCTTGACAGTTGAGTCGTAACAAAATTATCTTCTTATACAAAATAGACATTACATTATTTCGATTTCCCGCGGGTATTATTATGTAGCAATGGACATGCTAAGGAAACGAAGTACGTACAATCTGTTTCAATAGAAATTCTGATTTATTTCGATATATTTTATTTATTGTCTTACATGGAAGTCGAACGAAGAAACATTTACAATTTGTGATACGCATGTGCGATGATTATTTGCTGGGAAGGGATCCTGCGTGAAGGTAATAAGTAGTTAGTAAGTTAGTGAGTGAGTGAGTGAGTGAGTGAGTGAGTGAGTGAGTGAGTGAGTGAGTGAGTGAGTGAGTGAGTGAGTGAGTGAGTGAGTGAGTGAGTGAGTGAGTGAGTGAGTGAGTGAGTGTGAGTGTGTGAGTGAGTGTGTGAGTGTGTGAGTGAGTGAGTGAGTGAGTGAGTGAGTGAGTGTGTGTGAGTGTGTGAGTGAGCGAGCGAGTGAGCGAGTGAGTGAGTGAGTGAGTGAGTGAGTGAGTGAGTGAGTGAGTGAGTGAGTGAGTGAGTGAGTGAGTGAGTGAGTGAGTGAGTGAGTGAGTGAGTGAGTAGGCGAGTGAATATGTAACTAGGTAAGTAAATAGGTAAATGGGTAAGTCAGTCAGTCGGTCAGGAAATAAAAGGAAATGAAAGGAAATACTAGCCGCCGTAAATAATGTCGCTGTTCATCACAGAGTGAACAATGATATACAAATGCATCTCATCTATCTCTCTGTCTTATTACAAAAAATGGAGGTAATCTCGTGAATTGCTTTACCGAAATATCTGCCACTTTCAATGCGGGGGTTGTGGGTACCGAACCGGATGAACTGCATCAGAAGTGAACGTGTACTAATATCTAAATTCAAATTTAAATACTCTGATTTACCGTAACCGTAAAATATAGGTACGTAATTTGAGTTTCATACAAATTCTATAAAACCAATTTACGCTAACATTGATTTCAATCCGGAATTGCAGCTGCCGAAGGTTACATATACCTCTATTAGCATATATATCGATATCACATGACTAAAACATGTTGTACATATCAAAAGTCCAATTATTTACACAAATTGAATTATCCCACAAAAATATTAGTTTACATAATCTGTCTACATCTATACATATTAACCTATTCCAGTATCGTGTCATGTTTACCCAGTGTCTGCCTTTCGAAGACACCCGACCGGTCCTCCGATTGCCGCCGAAGTTGGCGCAAATCACTGCACGTCCATGGCAAATCTAAGAGCTCTATTCTGCATATATGCACCTTGAGTATGGTTATTGAATCCCCGTTTAGCAGAACAATAGTATTTAATTGTTTGGTCTCTGAAATAAATGTTCCAAGAGCTAGATTGTCCGAATATGCTATACTATAGTCACTCAGATTACAATTTCTAATTTTAAGAACTCTTCAAAATAATCTCTAAATATTTACATGCATGAGCATAATTACCCTTCAGAGATATCTCATTATTGCAACCCCCGTTATAAAAAACAAATGATTTTCCTGTTTTCATGATCAGTTTATTCTAACGCCCGTGTAACCACAAGGCGGTATTTGCAACACTGATCAGTCATACTGTCCGTATCCGTTTACATCACGTCAACCGCACTTGGAATTTATACTGACCAATCCCGTTAGACTGCTTGTCCGAATAAATAATGTGTAAACATGTTTCAGACTTTGTTTTCATTGTTCGTGTAAATTTACATTTTTAAATTATTGCAGACGAATGACGTTATACACAGCATAATCAACTCATTAATAGTAGAATTTCTCCTGAATATATAGTAATCTAATATCCTGATACACTGGACATGCAAGTAACAAATTATATTCAATTCATTTACATATTTTCAGTGCATGCAATTCCTCTTCTATAGGTAGATTTAAATGCCAGAAAATTTACAGAAACTGAAAACATGAAAAGACTCAACATGCAACCTTGTCTATTTTTTAGACTACATGAAAAGTATGCACCGTACGCAGGACTCCAGTTTTGCATACAAAGACCGTAATACTTTGCCATGCATGCCATACAAAATTAGACAATATTATATAAATTTAGACGAGACAGATCGTCATATATATTGAGCTAATTCAAAATTCATATTCATAACCATATTTATATTCATCTCTCCAATGCTATCTGCTATCTTTAAATTTTGCAACTGAATTTTCATTGAATTTATTTTCCATGTAAAACACGTATGTTCCCTATTGCGCTGTCCATTCTTAATATGGCAACCAAACCCACGTCGCATATCTATCACAGATCTCCCAAAATTGTCATTATTTGATGCACTTTTCAAATCGACATCAATTGCTATCAATTATTAGCAAGTTTTCTATTAGGTCTTCGGCTATAAAATCTTCTAAATTCCCTGTTCTAGCATTCCAGTCACCTAAAATTGGTTCACCTTTAATATAAACCGACAATCCTTCAGGAGACACATAAACGCACCTTAAAATAATGCCACGTAATTGCTCACATATTTTACTAATCTTTTTGATAATGAACACGTGAATAATTTATTTATATCTCAGCGAGGGCATCGATAGGTTAAAAACGCTTTATACCTCTGCAAACACTGTCAAAATCATTTGGGGGTTCCTCAAATGTTTACACATACCAATCGTCGAATTTGGCAAGTCATTGTTAATGACATATCCCCTTCAATTTACACTCATGTGACACATATGATACAAAGTGGAGCCAGTTTATTTGTGCGATTCCTTCCTTTATTATGCATGCCTTCGTCCTTTTTGAATTAGATCAAGGAACAAACGCACGTGCACATGAATGGTATGATGTGTAAGTTTGAATGAAATCTGCATGTGAGATTATAAATCAATGACAATATTGCTAAAAATTAACATGGAATGTTTCTGCAAACAAGGGAATTGCGTAAAAACGGAATTAACTTACGACGTTTGTCTTTCTATGGAAACTGGTGAAAAATGTTCGTACCTGCTTCTAAAATGCCCGTTCGAACTTTTGACAAAGACAATTTAACTCATAGGAAATTGAACTAACTTGTGTTAATCTTTAATAAAGAATTTAAAATGTATGTATTTGTCAATGAACTAAAATGTATTAGCCAGTCCAATCTGCAACCACCTTATTCAAGGGATTATTCATGCTTGATTAATTGCACGGCCGTCGTGAGACAGGATAGTTTCGCCAAATTGATAAAAAATATAAGTAATACTTGTGATTATTTGTTTGATATAAAATATTTAAAAATTTCAAATGTTCATTGATGAATGAATACCGCCTGCATAGAGCTTCACTGTGATTGGTTAAATATTAACCTCTCTTATGACAAGGCTCGCTTTCGCAATTTATCGTTCTGTGCCAAACGATACAAGTGCTAAATAATGTTTTTA